GGAACTTGAAGTAGAAATATCCGACCTGTATTAAAGATTGACATTTCGAGTTCATAAATATAATAATTTTATAACTTACTCTAACTCGGCATAACATGATTCCGTGAATAATTTACGATTATCAGATGGTGTCCAGTTGGAGCTGGTGGCGCATTGCGATGGGGGAATTGGTATGGCCTTTGGCAGCAAGGTTGATCTCTTCGCTCCGCATATCATATCCGAACGCGAAAAATGATCCACACAGACAACATCTCTTACTTTAAACTGAATCCCGCATTTTTGGCCCCATAGCAACCGTATAGACTCCTGGGATGGAACCTGGAAAAAAGGTCCCGTTCCGCGTTGCACTCTTTTAAAGCAGAGAGCACACTTTCCCATTTTTACCACAATTTATTTCTATTTGTAATTTTCACAATTCATAAAGTAAAGTTATTGTTTATATACATATGTTTGTAAATCGCATAGCATAAATTACAGGAGGGATATTGAAAAAAAATCGATGCAACGAAAAAATCGATGCAACGAAAAAATCGATGTTTCGCTGTTACCATCAGCAAGCTTTCCTTCAAATGAAAATATGGCTGTCAAACTATTGAATTGTCTGCAATAACCCCACGTCTCCATTTTGGGGTACGGTTTAGTACGTTGCCGATCTATTTCCAGGTATTGCGTCCAAAGGGGTGACCCGATCTAAAAAAAAATTGCACACACTTGTAGCCAAGGGTCTAAACATTATTTTAACACCCACTTTTGTAATTTTTGGTCACTAATTTATTTACAAATTGGGTTAGAAATATGCCCTTTTTTGTAAAATTCGGAAATTAGCGTAAATTTATCACTCCTATTCTCCTTAAAGCAGTCACTACAGCAATATATTTTTATATTCTCCTTCACTTTACACTTTACTCGATGAGTTATAACTTTCTTTATGACTTTAATATTAACCAATTAATCACAATTTATTAAATAAAAACACCTTCAAAATCATTCGTCTGACTTTGGTTGCATATCCAAATTATTTCAGCTGTCAAACTCCAAAATATGCAAAAGAATGAGAGACAAAAGGAAATAGATATAACCCTGTAAGCATTAAAATTATACAAAGGTGTTCTCTGCAAAAGGTGTTCAGCTCCTTTTCTTCGCAAACCAGAAAGGAGAATTCTACTGCCTGAGGGTTATAATCCCTAAGTGCGGTCGAAGGCCGCCTACGCAGAAAAGTGTTCTCTGCAAAAGGTGTTCAGCGCCCCTTCTTTGGCAACAAAGAAAGGAGAATTCTACTGCGTAGGGATTATAATCCCTAAGTGCGGCCGACGGCCGCCTACGCAGAAAGGTGTTCAGGCCCCCTTCTTTCGGCTGATAACCACCTTGGGATAACTTCTTTTATTTAAAAACTTCACAGATTCTGTTAGTTGTGTTATATTCCACTTCAAACTGCTCAATTTCCCTAGGTAAATGCTGTTTTTCGCCCATTTTCAAACGGTTCCCCAGGGGTCTGTGGGAGGCCCCGAAGGGGGGAAGGGGGCGGGGGGTGCGACTTTTCGTAAAGTGTGGGCTGTCCCCTTTCGAATGGAGGGGGTTTAGGGAGCCAGGCCCCCTCCCCTCCGCCCCCCTACCCCAGAAACGACCTGCAAATAACTAAACATTTCCCTCATTTTGTACTAAATGTGTGTTAACATTGCCAAATTTCTGTTTTAACTTTATCCCGTTTTCTAATGTGCACAGTATATACAGTAATAAACCTTTTCGCAGTTTTTCACCTTGCACTATCGTCTCAGCGAATCGACCGCAGAAATACTATGAACCAAAAATACAAGATCACGTCTTCTTCTTACTAGCCCGTTATAATCGCATTTAGGAAAAAAGTTGGGCGACTTTGACATTAGTCGTTTTAGAATAATTTAACACAACGAGATGATTTATTCATGCGTTCAACAATTACGTGGTTTTTTTTGTTATCTTCGTTGTTTACTTCTTACAACAAAGATGGCGTCGAGATTTCGACAGCTAGAAAATAACTTTTCTTTCTTTCGGGAAGGCGTGATCTTGTGTCTTTCGTTCATGCAGAAATACCATCCTAGAATGTCAGCCCAGCCAGCAGAGAAACGTACTTTTTGCCGAAAGTGCAGTTTCGTACATTTTTCGTATCCGAAAACGTTCAGAAAACGATTTCCAGAAATGTCATCATCTTATTTCAAAACAATAATTTTAAAATATTTGTTCAAACTGAGCATTTGAAAACATGTATACGTCTTCGCCAGTAGCTGAGTGTGCAGAGAAGTGTGCTACAATTTATTAGCTTTCAGGAGGTCCCAGGTTCGAATTCCGTCACAAGCAACACATTAAAATTATTTATTCAAATTGAAATAATTGCTGAATGTTAAAATTGTTTTTTTGTTTGGTTTTCTGTAACTATGAAAAAGTTTCTGTGAAGTTCATAATGAAATCGTTTTCAACGAAAAATTGAGTCAGACAAATTTCAGGAAAACAACCGAAAGCGCATCCGTTTTAAAACCACTTTCGATAGTTTTCTGCACATACGTTTCGGATGAACACTGTAGTGGGAGGATTGATCTGAAAAACGTCCGAAAACGGTTTTTATACGCAATTGTTTCCAATTTCGGACACGTTTCCGGATATTTTGCTGGCTGGGAGGGTTTTTCTATCCGGTCAGGCGATGTCAGACTCGAAATATTTATCGTTTATATACCCTCTGTCATCAGCGACTTTAACGCGCACTACGATCTTTGGCATACAATCCTGTGAAAGGATCATAGGGGAACACACTTGGCTGAGCAGATAAGACGATTCGACATTCTGCACAATGATCGACAACGCACCCACCAGGATTATGGGTAGCTGCTGAAGCTCGCCAGACATAACAATTGTCAGCGCTGGCCTGATATACAGCATATCATGGCGACCTATGCCGACCTAAGAATCAGATTATCTGCCAATAGTTATCTCGATCGATAAACCTGCCGACTTTGCTTCCGCGGAACACCGGATCTATATCAACTTACTAAATCTGATTGGAAAGGCTTCGCAGAATTTACTGAAAGCACCTTCTCTGCACTCCCCACACCACCCGACGTTCACGTAGGTGAGCGTAAGTTCCACACTGCTGCTGCAGCTTGCTTCGTCAGGTCGATCCCGGTAATCCCCGCAATATGGAGATTCGGCAGCTTGTGTACATACATAAGCGGTAGAAGTGGGAAGAGCATCTGAAGACTTGCACCTTCACCTCTGGTTTGAGTAAGCTTTGGTCAACCGTGATGTCACTTTCTAATCCGACAAAGCGCGACGACAGAGTCGAAATATCTTTCGGAGAGTGCGCTTCGCCGTATCCGGAGCGATGCGCGAGCAATTTTAGCCGGCAATTTACATTGCATCCTCCGGCGGTCAAAGCGAAACGTAGAGTTACCAGAAGGCTGCTCAAACTGCCAACAAAAGTGCGCCTCTTGTTTTCACTTGCGGTGAAGTTCAGGTAGCCATCGGAGAGGCGAAAGCCTCCAAAGCCATGGGACCCGACGGAATATGCTTGTTTATGCTGAACAATTTTGGGTCATTCAGGAATAGACTATTTAGCCAAGGTTCTTAACCTGTGGTCCCACTGCTCAAACCGGGGAAACCAGCCAACAAAGGAGAGTCTTATAGTCCGATAACCCTCCTTTCCCCGGTAACGAAAATACTAGATGCCTGGCTATTCCAGTATTTTGCAAACCAGCTGACCCCAGCGAGGCATAAGTATGGTTTCCGTAAAGTGCACAGCACAACAACAGCACTTAACGCCATAAACACTCAAATAACACGTGGCCTAAACCGCAAGCGCCCCTGTGAGAGAACTATACTGGTAGCGTTGGATCTGTCAAAGTCACTCCACGCTACTAGAAGACATAGAGGACTCGTCTCTCCCACAGAGACTCAAAAGGTGGTCGGCGAATTATCTGAGTGGTCGACACTCGTCAGTAATGGTTAGAGACAAACAGAGTAACCTAATAAAGTAAGACAGGCGGTTCTACAGAGTCGTGTTCTTTCCCCATTACTGTATAATTATTACATTTCCAATCCCCTTAACCACCAGAGTGAGTCTCGATTGTCTCTTACGCTGTCAGCTCTTTACGAACTGACGGACGAAGTCCAGACGTCCATAAAGCAACATCTGGACCCAACAGCATATCGACAGGCAGTGAGCGGCATTCACAGGGAGTCGGTCTCAAGTTACGTAGATTTCAGACTGTTAATGCCGCTCTGAGCACACAACCACCTGACGTGCTTCGCCTGCCTCGGGAGACTAGAACCACAATAGCCCAACTTTGCTCTGTCTACTGCAGCATGTTGAACTCATACCCGAGCAGACTACATGCAGATGTGCCCAATGAGTGTCCGACATGCGGGGAGACACCCCACGACTCGAAACATCTCTTCTCTTTTTCTTTTGTTGACATCCTAATGTTGCGCCACTTCGTCTTGGATGACATTCTCTTGTACTAGTGTAGAGACAAAAATATCCAATCAGCTGATCAATCAACACCGCCATATATTGATGCGCCTTGGCTGTTAACTTCTGACTGAGAGATGACCTCATTTACTCCCTTTTTTGTCCTCTCAATAGTCAGAGAACCGAGTACGGGATCGATTTCCAGTAAAATCTGACTAAGGCCAATTTTTAGATGACCTACTTAAATAGAGATTTTCATTCATTTAATCTGCTCTTAAATGGCCAATATTGGCTATTTAAATTTGAGATATTTAACCCTGTGTTTGTACCAAACAACCAAGATTGATTGGTAGGTTGTTTAATCAATTTCAATTTATTTTAATCAATCCCACCAAATCCAATCAAAAACAATCAGCTTTTCAGCTCAAAATGTAAAATCCAACTTAGTATTGCTGCCTTGTTACGTTGTGAAAGTTCTGACTCGTTATTATAAACATTACATTACGTTGGTGTGGATTTGGTTTTTATTTCAAGTACTAAACAAGCACTGAACATCCCCAGAGTGAAATCAATTTAGCGTCGCCCGTGACTGAACGCTCCCGGTACACCGCCAAGCAAAAAAATGGTGGAAATTTCTTTCGGTCCTTGTCAGGTTTGAGGAAAGTTTTTTAAAATTTAATCGCATTTTACTATGCTAGTGTTTTTGAAATTTTTCGCCAGGTCAAACAAGTTTTTTAAAATGATATAGTTTTTATTGTTTTGAACTATATTGCCTGATAAAAGTAGTTTGATCCCGTCTGTGAAAAAACTACAACCGTGGGCTGGCTGCAATTTAAAGCGAAGAATAAATGTAGAAAGGGAATCAGCTTAAATATATGTAAAAGACAAAAGTGAGTAACCAGAAAAAATTGACCGATACTTCTCTAATTAGTGGGATTGTATCTAACCAAAATATATGTAGCTCTTTAGAAAATCTGCCGGAGAACCTAAAAAAATGGACCAGCTCTTTATGTTTTCAAATGAGTATACTATGGATGATAGTGAGGATGCTGCGAAGGGTAGCAACAAAGAAGACTCAAAGATTAAAAACGAGCCTGAAGACATCGAAGATGATGGTTTGGACGACGATAGCTATATAATGCCAGAATCTCTATTGCAACAAATGACGACTACGCCGGATGCGGATGGCGAAGACGATAACACAATTTTTAATTTCGGAATTGAACCATCTGTGGATAAACTACAGCCGTCGGCTATATCGAAACCATATAGCACGAAGAATCCTCAAGATGTAAACGTTAATTATGATATAGCCATAATGTTCATTTGCCCATGTTGTGGTGAAGAATTCGATACACAAATCGCTTGGAAGAGTCACATAAATGGTGTGCACGAGTATAATACCCGCCGCGGATTAAATTTTGTACCAATAGACAAATTGTACCATAAATGTCTGGAATGCAACAAGCCAATTGCAATGCATGCAATGGAAAATTTGTTGAAACATAAATTCACACATTTGCCACACCGGTGCACAAAATGTAAAATCTGCCATCGTTTGTATAAGTATCGACAGGACTTGATTGTCCATCTGCGATTGATGCATCGTGATGAAGTGTTGTCCCTGAATGCGAGTGCAAACAGTGAACCAGGCAGCAGCAGTTACAACAATAGCCGTACAACTACACCGCCTTTGACTAATGCACGATTAGAGATCAGGGATATCAAAGGCAATGCAGTGGACATATTTGAAAATACTTGTGACAGCGTCGAAGTGAAAAACGAACCGTTTGATCCCGATGACCCAGATGGCGAAAACTTATTAGAGCAAGCGAGAAAAAAAATCGAAATTACCAACCAGCTCAATCCTGGAAGATGTACTCAGCCGGGGTTCAACCCAGGTATCCGATCAGCGTCAAACTAACAATGGGAATACCAATGAAAGACAATGTGAAAAGAACATAAAATATATATGCCCTGTTTGCAGCACTGAGTTCAGAGTCAAGAATGATTGGCTCGAACACGTACAAGAAATGCATAATTTCTGTTCTATTCGTGGACTCGGATTTCAGCAGCGTACTAACGCGTCTGTTGAATGCCGCGAGTGCAAAAGGGTAAGTACTCACAATTGGGATGTTAAGAGTTCGATTTGTTACTATAATTCTTTTTAAATCTTTTAAGGTTTTGTCTGATAAATCAATTGAACAACTACAATTGCATAAGTTCTCGCATCTTCCTTCAAAAACTTGGCTTCGCTGTAAGCTTTGTTTGCGCGCATTTAGTAATCACAAGGATATTGTAAGACATTTGCTTAATCAGCATCGTCTTGATGATGAGTTTGAAGAAGAAGTCGGCGATGACAGTCGAGATTTTGATCCATACTCTGCTCAAGTGAATGACCATGAAGATGATCAGGTTCCAGCTAATGAGCAACGAAAGAACGAGGTGCGAGATATTTATGAGACGCAAATAGATTATTTATGTCCAAAGTGTGGCGAAGAATTTTTACAAAGGAAATTTTGGCGAAAGCATATAGTCAAAGAACATGGTTATACCGATTTAAAAACACTATGCTTCGTGGTATTGAATGAGCATCAACTACAATGTCGATTATGCGGCAAAATAATTACAAATGCCTACGGTGTACAAAATGCGCAGCAGCACTATTTCACCCATTTGCCACACAAAGCTTACATACGCTGTCGTATATGTGCGAAAGCTTATACGGATCGCAAAGGTTTAGTTAAACATTTGCGCAAAGTGCATCATATTAATCCCAGAACGGCCGCAGCTGCAGCTGCAGCAATCGCTGCCAAAGCTGGTAAGATTATACGGCCCCAAGCAACATTCCAACCGGTGCGAAGAACACCTACACCGGTGATAAGTTCACCACGCAAAGCGCCAGTTAAAGAAATCGTTCGGCATCACGGCGTTACATATGAGATACAATTCTTGGATGAAGACAATAATGATGAGTCATATCAAATGCAAGAAACATCGACATCATATGATGGTGGCCGCGGTGAATACAGATACGATGATAGTTTTGCTACACCTACAAAACGCCACGTGTGCGCAGATTGTTATTCAACCTTCAGCACGGCCCAAGCGCTACAAAAGCATACAAGAGAACAGCATGACTTTAAGAAGCCCTCACAAGCCTATGTTTGCTCGTTGTGTTTCTGTACTTTTGAATCCGGTGGTGCATTGCATGACCACAAATTAAAGCATCATCCAAACAAACCTAATATTTCCCATGCAAGCGAAAACAATGAGGACGACGACTTGCTTTTGATACCTAGCGGAAATGAGGACGTAAAATCCGACTATAACACTGGTGCTGGTACGCAAGCAAATTTCGAACAATATTTTTGCTATCTATGTCCCGCATGCGGAGAGGAGTTTAAGACGCAATACGAGTGGCGTCGTCACATCAACGATATTCACTATTTCGATCGACGCCAAGAATTAAACTTTCGACAAATGGATAAGTTTAATTTTCAATGCTTGGAGTGCAAGGAATTTGTTAACAGCGCTAAATTAAAAGGTCTGCAAGACCATAAATTCCGTCACTTGCCGTTTAAATTGTACATAAAATGTCGCCTCTGTAGCACATGTTACAACCACAAACCCAACATGGTCACGCATCTACGTATACGCCACAATTTGATAGATCCGCGTGAGGCGCAAATTCGCAGTCCATCAATGTCACCGTTACCATCACCATCACCGCAAATGCGTTTTAATACAAGCAGTTCATATGATACGCCTTCACCATCATTTACTCATACGGTGAACACCTTCCGACCCATGACAAGTGAGGATATTCACTCAAATCACAATGCAGTAGACCATGAATCCATTACCTATCGCTGCCCGCAATGCAATGAACCATTCGACACACATGCCTCATGGCGGCAACACATTGTCTCCGCACATGATCTGAACAGTCGGCCGGGATTAAATTTCCGACAGTTGGATGCACACCACTACATTTGCTTAGAGTGTTATAAACGTGTAACGGTGACACATACAAAGGGGGCAATTGGCCAATTGCAGTCGCACAAATTCCGCCATTTGCCGTACAAATCCTTCTGTTGCACTAAATGTTATGGACAGTTTGTTCGCAAGCAAATGTTCTTCAAACATCTAAATCGTCATACCAATAGGTGCCCAATGATGGGAAATGAGCGTATACCGAACTTTGACACCAAAGCTAAGAGCTCCTCCATGGGCTTAATGCGTGCGATTGGAGCTCCGGGTGCTAATCCCAGCCCTGGCAAGCTTCTTAACTTCTCAATAACATCCAAGGAAAAATGCCCCTACATCATACAATGCCCACAATGTGGTATTAAATTTGAAAAATGGCATCCGTGGCGTGAGCACATTGAAAAAGTGCATGCTCTACATAGTATGGCATCACTTAAATTCAAGAAGATCAATGATCATTTGCACATTTGCATCCAGTGTAAGGAACGTGTATCAGGCGCAAATTTCGTAAACCTACAAACACATCGATTTAAGCACCTGCCTTACGGCACCTATCTCCATTGTCGCTACTGTGATGTGAGATATTATTATATGATCAATATTATCAAGCACATGAAGCAAAAGCATCCCAATCATGGCATGGAGCAGCTCGAACTGCAGTTGGAGAGCGCAGATGGTAAAGATGCTGACGCATCGCCGGTCACAATCAGCATGGAGGATGAAAAGGAGTGTGTGCCAAAAGTGGAGTATGCCAACGCTGCCGATGATGAAAGCCAAAAGGACGGCGACAACAAAGCTGTGATCATTGATGACGATGAAATGGAAAATGAGAACGATAATGATACCGAGGGCGAAGACGAAGACGAAGGCGATGAGGGAAGTATTAAAGAAAACTTTATGGAGTATAGGTTCGGTTACGAGTCCTCGAAAAACCCTTATATTATACAATGTCCACAATGTGGTATTAAAAATGACAATTGGTATAATTGGAGCGATCACATCGCTCAGGTGCATTCATTGGGTGATCGTGAGCAACTAAACTTTACGAAAATATCTGATTGGTTGGACGAGTGCAACGAATGTAAGGAACGAATAAATTCCACGACTATTATAAATCTACAAACTCACAAATTGAAGCATTTGCCACATGGCGCTTACCTGCATTGTCCTCATTGTGATGACAAGTTTGATTATATTGTACATATTGTTAAACACTTGAATTTGAAGCATCCAGAGCATGTGCTAAAGCAAAGCGAAAAGTTAAATGACGAAGTAAGTAATGACATGGCAGATAACGATAATGATGCGAAAGAGAGGGGGGATGAGGAGGAGCCAAATGTTGTAGACGCGAAGAGTGGTATTAATGCAGAAATTGACCTGGATGCTGAGGTTGATGAACAAGATGATGAAGATGATGATGACGAAGATGATGATGATGAGGAGGATGATAATGACAATGAAAACGATAACGATAATGATAATGATGAGAACGTAAGCAGCGGGGACGTTGCGGAAGCAATGGATATTGATGATAAGAGTGAAGATGATTTTGAAGATGGTGAGGATGATGATGAAAATGATGACGACGACGTCGATGATGATGATGACGACGATGATGAGGATGGTGACGATGACGAGATTGAAACCTATGGTACTAAAGGTAATGTAGCAGACACAGCTGTCGATAGTGAAAATACAAACACAGAGGCGCCGCGAGGTGTAGTTGAAGATATTGAAGAAACTGTTGAATCAGAAGAACAGTTATTACTGGGTTAATTTGGTTTTGCCCTACCTTTCTTCATTTTCATTAATTTAATCTTATACATAAATAGTTACTGTAAGTCATTCATAATTGCCCAAGTGGTTATTTTTAGAGAAGACACACTTTAGAATTGTGAATACATTCTATAATTTATTTTATTTTTTTTTTTTAATAAATCGGTTAACTATTTTGAGTCACCTAAAGCAAGTGTGTATGAAAATCGAATCTTAAACGAAAATCAATTTTAAGCGCAATGTAGGACCCACTACGCAGTGGTAAATTTGACGATTTGGTTTTAACTGAAAAGTTTTCAAATAATTACCATCATGATCAATGTTGAAGAAGCAATTCATGAATTGATATGAAATATGGTAAACTATTAAAAATAAATGAGATTAATACATAAGTACATATACTTAGCATGCAAATTCGGTGTTCGCGTGCAATTTAAATAGATAGTCAACCACCAAAAAGTTGCATATCTTGAGGAAAGGTGTTACAGGTTTGAGTGGATAGCGTCGTCAACCTGGAAGATTATGGCATTTATGTAAATAATTTTCTTAGGTATCATAGGACCATAGAATCGACGCTACCCAGCTGTGGTTTAAACGTATGCACAGGCCCCTATTACGAGTTGCATTCGATCGTCGACTGTGGTCGAAAGTGCTGATCGAACGAATATAAAAAGGTGGTAAAAGAAATTTTAATTAATACACAAGAGTTCTGTTTGAACGATTCGTCAGAGGATGAGACCTTAGAAAACTGGTCAGGAGCAGAAAACGTTTAAGAGAGTTTAAGTGCAGTCATTCGAATATATTTTGACATACAATATATTTAAGAAATTTTGTGATGCAAATCGATTGATGATGACCATGATTTTGTACTCAGAGATCGTGCCAACAGCCTATTGGGATTTTCTTTCATATGTATGTAAAACTAGACTTTCGGGCTTGTGTTTACTATTCACGACGTTAGAACTGCTTGAAATTATTGCAAATTGTTTAAAATTAGTGTCTAGCCGCCAAAAAATAAGGAAACAAATGCAAAATCATACTTTTTTCACAATTTTCTAACACTTCGCTGCACCAACGAAAGCAAAATTCTGTTCGACAGAAAATTCGATACTCAACGAAAATTTCGCCAGCGAAGATCGAATGCAACTTATAAAAAGAGCCACACTTTTATTGTCTAAATAGATTTCATAAAAATTAGCACTCGACATTAAGCAACTCGATATTATGGTATTTTAGGCGCTACATATTTTTGTGTTAATAAATAATATTCATTGTCCTGCAGCTTATAAATTTTATTTAATCCATTTGCTTAAATTCCTTTAGGCAGGAATCTGTTAATCAATTTCTTAACAGTAAAAAAAAAACGTCGAAGGTATTAAAAGTATAGGTAATAATTAAAGAACCTTTTTTGTTAAAATTTCAATTATTTTCATTTAACATTTTAAAATAACATCAATAAAAATCTTTCAAAATAGCATATTGCTTATTGGCTATAGCACGTGTGTGTGACTATTTTGGTATCTATTGTATTATTATTTTGGCGATTTAGTGGAATGAAAACAATATTGAAAAATACAAAATGATCATGCATGAATTTTAAATTAGCTTCAATAAACAAAAATTACATCTTCAACTAAAATAAAATTAATTAATCTAAGAATCGCTGTTTCATTGAAGCACTTACATACATACATACATACATATATACTTAAATGCGAAGCAGCAAAAGAACAAACTTTCTTTGTTAAGCCACAATTTGTGTTAACTATAAGTATATTGAACATCTTGAGCATGATTATGACCTACTTATGCTAATGTACAAGGAATTAATAAAATATCTATATATTACATAACGGTATAACGCAATATGTATTAATTGTATACAAAGTATGTATACCGTTACTTTAATATAAAAAGGGCCCAAATGATTTTTCTTTTTTTTTTTCAAAATCAATTTTGCACGAATGACAATAGATTGCTTATTCTTCTCGCTCCCTCGAGGTCAACATTTGTTTCCTCTTCGAAGAAATATAAGGAAAAGGGACTCCACCTACTTAGAGTAGGCTTTCCTCTAACACCACCACCGGGTACCGCTTCGAATACTCTCTGGTCTGGAAATCTCACATCAATACTTTGGTATGGTATGGAATGGTACTCATATTGACGGTTCTCGCCGTCACAAAAGCGTTCAAGGCCACACATTTTCCGCAAAATCTTTCCTTCGAAAACTGGCAAGGATCGTCCCGGCTTCCACTCCATACATATGTACATATATTAGTTGGAAGGGACCTGATTATAGGCCCTTGGTCGAGAAAAACCCAAGTCATTCCGATGCCCAGAACCGGTTTTATCAAGAGTTATTAAGAGTGATCTACGTTGACGATTGCTCGATATTGGGCCGGCAATGGCATTGATAGCGTCCCCACGACAGTCGGGTATATTTAACCGGAATGACCCAGGTTTACAACTGGCCAAGGACTGTCACTCCAGCATCATCCCCCAAAAATCCTGTTGCAGGAACAACAGGACCCATGTTCGATAGTAAACAGCTAAACTCTTTTTACCACCTGGACGATGCCTCATAGACCTCAGGCATACACGTTGATGGCACACCAGTCTAAATTATGCTGCACCTGTTTTGATCACCAGGGAGGTATAGGACGCAGTAATAGAAGCTACAGACTTATCAGAACACGACACTGCGGGCATCAACGGTATGCCTACTGGTGTCGCCTCAACACCATCTGCATAGCGAGACCTCAATGTTCCCCAGTAAGAAGCACAAATTAATGCTCAGCAAGCAATTGCGCTCGGCTGTATCCGAGCAGACATTTTCTGGAATCAGAGCCTTTTTCCAGGCGCATAAGAAGGTATCTCAATAACCACTGGATTCAACGAGCAACCAAAAAGCCATCAACGACGTCCATAAAGAGTATATTACCAACTTCACAGACTCTCGGCCCGGGAATGTCGTGAGTTCAATGACAAGGCCATCGAAGACGAAGAGAACTCTGGCACAACTAAGGTCTGGATACTGCGACAGGCTTAACCCATACTTATCCAGCCTCGACCCGTACTTACCTAACTACATACTATAAAATGATAGGAAAAGGGAAGAGGGAAAGTTTTTAAAAGGATTTGTGAGAATATAATATCCGACACATGCAGCGGCGAGATAAAGCCCCAACAAAGGATAGGATAAAAGCCTAACTAGTGATCAAGTTGCCGGATGGCACGTTCTCTGGTAGCGTGGAAGAAAAAGCGCGCGTCCAATTCTCCAGACTATGAAAATGCGTGTTCGGGCCCTTGGACCTACCTTGGATCAGCGTAGCGTGAGCGATGCACTCATTTGATCCGTACAAGTCCCCAGGTGTGGAAGGAATTTACCCGGCTTTACTAGAACGGGAAGAGGATCCAGGTACCCCACATCTGTTAGATACAACGAAGGATAGTTTAGCCCTAGCCTACATACCAACAATGTTGCGGAGAGCCCCGGTAACGTTTATACCCAAGATAAGTAGAAGGGACTGCTACCTAGCCTTTAGGCCAATCAGTTTTACCTCCTATATTATAAGGGCGATGGAGAAAATTATTGATAATGAAATGCGGTCGAACACTCAAAGTTAGGACACTACACTATAGCCAATACGCCTGTATGGCATGAAGATCCACAGAGACAGCCCTATATCAGCTAATAACAGAAATCCAGAGTTAGTTTTACTATGTGCAGGTTGTGCTATGTACTTTCCTTGAGGCTGTATGTTACGAACAAGAATAGCAGAGACCACAGAAGGGGATGGCTCCATACAGCCACAAAAGGATGCCTAGTAGTAGACGGAACTCCTCCAACGCTATCAGACAATTTAATACGATGCCAAACCTACGCGGATGGCATAGTCCTAAAGGCAAGAGAGAGATTCGAGAACGCCCTATGTAACATAATAGAAAGGACATTAAAGATAACAAAGGAGTGGTGATTCTCAACATAAACCCAACGAAAACAGCCATCCTCCCATTCACAAGAATAACCCTACCGGGAATGGGAACTATAACTAACGATGGCATAGAGGTCAGCACCATTTCGGAAGTAAGATATTTGGGCATCAAGCTCGACACAAAACTAATAGAAAAAACACGTAAACATGACGACATCCAAAGCCACAAGAGCACTTATGGTGTGCAAATTTTTCGCAATAAAATCTTGGGGCTGCAGTTCTTGGCTCCTCAGATGAATGTATACCTCGATTGTCAAAGCAACGATAACCTATCGAGCGGTAGCCTGTGGCTCCAGAGTCAACCTAGGAGGAATGCGCACGTGTCCCACGGCAGCGCTGGAAGTAATTTTCGAACTTGAGTCTCTTCATATATGTATGTATGTATATCCATTAGAGCAGGTTACCAAAAGAACTCTACTAAGCTTTAGTAGAGAGGTATTTGGAAAAGGAAACGTTCAGAAACATGGAGAAGCTCCCTATAGAGCTATGTATTGCAGAATCATATTCTTTGAGAGGAGATTTACAATATGGTTATGCAGCAAAGCAACCTGGAGTGTCTCTGCCTTCGAAAGCTAGCTTCCTGCGCTGATATGTAGACGGCTCGAAAACTTCAGACAGAATAGGGGTAGGAATCTCTGTTCCTATGGGGAAATACCCGACCAGTTTATAAGCGGAGGTTTACGCCATCTTTCTGTGTGCGGAGGTAAATATACATAGAAGGCGCCGAAACTAGATGATTATAATTTTAAGCGATAGTAAGGCACCGCTCTTATTTTATATGAAATTAGAACAATGCAATAATGCTGCAATTTCCTCATCAGAAATTCGGGGGTAATATGAAAAACCTGACCAGTTCTTTTGTGTAGATGTCACTACGCGTCCCTTTCTCACATGGGGATTTTACTAGCAGTGCTATAAGGTCTCTTTTCTACTTTTTGTATTTCCTAAGGTTATTTTTACACATGTTTTTCTGTGTATTGGTGTATATTTTAGTGTGTTAGTGAAGAGGTCAGAAAAAAAAAAGTCCTTTTCTTGTAGGGGTGGCTTAGTAGGACTGCGCTAGGTACTATTATAGAGTATGCTGGGAGGGTAATTCAGTGAGTGATTCCAAAACATACCCTACAAGAAAAGGACATTTTAGACTGACCGATTCTCAATACACTCAAATAAAAACCAATACACATAACAAACGCTGTAAAAATTTCCCCACAATTTTAAGGCAGTAAAACAGAGACCTTAAGTTGACATCAATCGAGGCCATATGATGAAAAGGGATGCAAAATCACATGTACACAAAAGAACTGGTCAGATTTTTCAGAAATCCCTGCAATTCTGACGTAAAATATGATCCCAAAAGGCTGCAGATCTCCCAGTCAGATAACCAGTCATATGACCGGCAGATGTCTTGTAGGGTAATTAACCTCCTAAAGGAGAAATTTAGAATACTAACAGTTATCTTTACAGGGCATCTGTATAAGCTGGGAATAGGGTCAAATGATCTATGTCGGTTCTGCGACAAGGCCAGCAAGATACCACTACATATTCTTACCGAGTGTGATGATATCTGCAGAAGGCGTATATGTTGGTGTTGGTTGATTTTTCCAACTGGGTGGTAAGATCATTTATTTTGGAACGAATTGCCGTCATCACTTGTCAAGTTTGGTTTGGAGACAAACAGCCATCGGAGTTGTGCCATCTTCACCTTTTATTTTAAACAGTTTTGAACTGATTTTTAAAAAATTGGTATCGTTGTAAACGTGAAGAAAGGGGGTATTTTCTTCTGATATGCATATTTGTATACTTCGTATGTAAACATTTGAAGGGGAAAAATACATTTTTTTATAAAAAAAAATTACTAACCAATTTTTTTTAAATCGGTATCGTTGTAAAGGTATGCATATTTGTATACTTCGTATATACTAACCGACGCAATTAAACCTTCTTTCTTCTGATATGCGTATTTGTATACTTCGTACATAAAAATTTGAGAAAAACACTTAAAAGGAAAAATACCTTTTTTATAAAAAAA